TTTCATAAGGGCAATGGGGAAAGGCCTTAAACTGAAGGAGAGAAGGTTCAGATTAGATATTTAGGAAGAAATTCTTTGCTACAAGGGAGGTGAGACCCTGACACAGGCTGCCCAGAGAAGCTGTGGCTGCCCCATCCCTGGGAGTGTCCAAGGCCAGGTTGGAGCAACCTGGGCTAGTGGAAGGTGTCCCTGCCCATGGCAGGGGGTGGGATGGGATGGGCTTTAAGTCCCTCCCAACCCAAACCATTCGGATAAGGAAAGTAATGCCTTTAGGATTCTGTCAATGAAAGAATTTGTTCATGGGTTCAGGCAAGGAGCAGGATTCAACTGACCATGCCAGTCAAAAGGCATATTTTTCAAGACCCTTTTGCTGGCAACACTGCCTCTGTCTGTCTTGCTCTACAGAGCTGCAGCCAGTGGTACCACAGGGCTATGATTCTGAACAAAACCACTGTCACTGCTAAAGCCCCTTCTGACCACCAAGGCTAAGTTGATGTACAAAATCTTTTTAGAATGACAAAAACTGGTTGTGCCTATCACTGCACTTGTGGATGGCACATGCACTTCCCTCATACAGCTGCACACAGAAAAGAAACTAGAAATAGGAAATCCTTGATCAATAAGTTGCCCAAGCTTCCATTTCTATAAGTGTTATATTTGTAGTTTTCCAGCTAAGCTTGCATGAGTTTGTTTTGGCAATTAAAAAATCTTCTGTAACACACAGTTGAATCAAAAGGTATCCAAGCTGAAAATAAAGAAAATCTACATTTTATCATGGGTATTTATTACACTGGTCCAGGTGAGCTGATAGTTTATGAAATGAAGCTGGCTTGAAAATGAGGCAATTCCACCTGTAATAGGCAACAGTATTATTAGATTAGTTATTTCCAGACAAAAGTGGTGGCATTCTCAATGCCAGAACAGGATGCATGTTTATCTGACCCAAGAAGTGACATGTTTATCTGTTTAATCCGACCCAAGAAGTTTACAATTAGTGATTAACGAAACTAAGTAAAGGATTTTGTGGTTAGGCTTTGCTTTTTTTTTTAGATATTCTTTGTTGCTTCAGATCTACAGTTGAGGTCCTGAAGCCTTCAGTAAGTGGGAACTCAGCTGTGATGTTCACATTTTGTTTCACTTTGTTCACTGGCAGAGCCAGCAATGACATCAGTCATTGCTGAGGGGTTATGTGGGGAGACTGCAGCTGAAGAGCACCTGTAATTGCTGAACATGAAGGAAGACCAGTGCCTGTCAGGGTCACCAGACCATAGTCAGGGGCACAGTCCCTGTGGGGGGGGAAGAAAAGTGTAAGATGCAGACATAGAAAAATGACCCCAAATAGTCATTAAAAAGAGCCAGACTCTCCTCAGAGTTCAAGATTCTGAATTTGGCTGCCGAGTCCCTTGCTGCAGAACAGCTTTTTTCATCTAGTTGTCCCTTTATATATGCATCAATAGATGACAGATGCTATGGAAACACTGTAGAGTGCTTTGAAGTCTTCTGGTGTTTGAACCACTATTTTAGCTTCCATGGTCTATAAAAGGCAAAAGGTGTATTCACATTAGTCTATCAGTTTGGTTAAGGACAACGTTTTTGAGGTGAATCTCCTTAGCTTTCACATTTATTGCACCTTTGTTCACATTGCTGAGCAGTCTTGGAACACTTGAGCTGTGTTGCTTTTACACACACTAAACCAGAGGACCTGCTCCAGGGAAGATACCAGACTAGATTAAGCTCAAAGTAAAACTCCTGAAAGTCCTACAGCAAGGCCATCATACCTTCAGAGCCAGCTTTTTTCCTTTTTCTCTCTGTAGTTTTGTTCCTCTTACCCTGTACTCATGACTAACATCAGCAGAGATTGCTGCTCTTCCTATCCAGACCTCCCTTCCAGCATTGCACTATTTGCTGGAAAACTTGTTTTTCCGTTCAGAGGAGAGCTTAGCTATGCTGAACAGTGCTTTTCTGTGAGCTACTCCTTCATTTTCTTCTCTTTTAATGAATTAAACTTGTTTCTTCACCCTCCTTTTTTAAATACAGGGGATTTTTCACCTGCTGCAGCATCATTCAGAGAAGCAGTGGTAGAGTTGTAAACAGCCTATTTTTATGAGGATTAAATCTAGGAAGTATTCAGTCACTTGTTGTTAATGGTAGTGTTAATTTCTCAAGTGAACATTACCAAGATGAAATACAGACAAGACTCTTCTCCTATGCCAGTAGTGGCAATAAGATTCTGAAGGACTCAGCTTAACAGCTTATGTCAAGTGATGAGGTTAATGGAAAAGAATTTCGTTATTCAGGTCACTTAATGAAAATAACCTTGGAAGAGCTTAGCAGAGCCCTTGGGGTAGAATAAATTATTCCTCTTCTTGCTTCCATCACTTTAAGTTAACCCAAGACATAGAAGAAGCTGATCTAAACATGATCTCAACCGGGCAGAGAAGCACTGGAGGAACATCAGTGATGACAGTGTGTTGTTGTAATCTCTGCTGTCGCTCCAGTGGTAGAATAGAGCCTTTGAGCACAGGCTAGCTTTGCACAGCCAGAGCTTTAAAACAAGACAGTTTATGATGCAGGTTATCAAAATGCTGCAAGAAGACAGCAAAAATACTTACCACAATTTTTTGGCCAATGCACAGCCTTTGGGTCAGCCAGACACAGTAAAGAGGCCACAGCAGCCACCAGTCACACTGGTCCTGTTTTGTGTGTCGCTGGTTTGCTTTGCTGCTCAGAAATAAGCTTCAGCTCTGGTGATCTGAGACCTTACACTGATCTGCTCCCAGATCCCAGGGAGCCTCTGTGTCTCTGCACCACCATTTCCCTCCTCATCCCTCAACTGAAAGTGCTGTAAGCTGCCCAGGAGCACATGCCTTTACCATGAGGCTGCTAGAGCCTCATGAAGCACTGCACCATTTTGAGGGTGAGGGCTGGTATGTGCCAGAATAAAGGAGGAGAGGTCACTTGGTTTGATCCCAAACATTGCATCAGTAACTTTGAGTGCCCTAGATCCAGATTTAGAAAACCTCTGGAACAGACAGGAGTAGCACTATCCCCACCTGTAACATTACTACCTTCTCCTCAAGTGCCCGTTTCATATTCCAAGCAACATGAATAACTCATCTGTGGAAAGCTGAAAATCCTTTTCACAGCCCTGGGTACAATAACTTCGATATAGAAAAACAAGATTAAATTTGACAGTAATAGGAGTGATAGAGGGGAAGAGCGTTCTTCCTTTGAGGCAGAGGCTCTGAATACAGCAACCAGTCACTGGCTGAAAAAGGAGGGGAAGAAAGGTAAATGCAGTTATATTCAAGCATCAGGACTTAAAAAAAAAGCTTCTAGGAAAGAGAAAAAAACCCTGCACCTTTCTCTTGACAGTTAACAAGCTACCTAAAGGAGCTAAACAAAGGAAAAGGAAGAGAGTCAAAGACCTTACAAAAAGAGCTGCTTTCAGCCATTTGTTACTAGATATCTTAAAATACGTTTATCCAACCTTGCTAAGAGACACCAAGCCCTCTATGACCCACAGCAAATCCTCACTACTGTTTTCTCTACTTCCCCATGAGCCCTATTTATCCTCTCCCTCCTGCCTCTGTAGGGACCAGCCTGTGTGTCTGCAGGCTGCCAGGGATTTAACTCCTCACGTGCCACATTTAGGGGAGCAAATTTATTCCCCAAAATCCCTCTAGCCCCCCAGTGAGCCCTGCTTCAGTCACTAGCCCTACACCTTGATGTGTTGATCACATTTGGGATCGTGTTGTGTGTTGTGAACAGGCTCTGTCCCACTGTTGCATCTGTAGAGGTTTATTGATGAACTTTGGCTCTTTTGTGCTGTAGAGGCCCTTCAGTCCCAGGGAACTGACATTCCGTGGCTGGAGATTCATTGTCTCATAATCAGCCTATGGAAGGATTTTTAATCACTTACCTCATGATACTTCATCACATCTATACTTTAGGATTTATACAGACTAATATTCCCTGTCGTTAGGGCTCTTTGACAGCAGTTGTCTCAAGCACCTTTGACATTTGCAAGGGGAACCAGACCTACTGTTCACCAAAAGCAGCATTGCTCCCTCCAGCAGCAGGATGCCAAGTGCCAGGGCAGGAGTGGTGGGCACAGAGAGTGTGTTTGAGTGGTGATTAACACACAACAAAGAGAGCTGCCTGTGCTGCAAATGGAAACACTGTGTGCTTGGGATGTAAGAGCATTTCCATCTAATTTAGCTCTCTGCATACAGTAATAAGACACAACAGGGTGTGCATTAAGCTCATCTTTTGGGAGGTGCAATAGTAGCTGGAATGCACAGCCTGGAGTGGCTTATTTCTAGTGGACTATGGCTCATTAATTTTACATTTAACTTTTTTCAAGTCCATTTAAAAAAAACCCCAATGAATGTATTCTGAGGGCAGTTATGCGATGTATCCTTACGCTGAAAAGTATTTTCAAATGAAAACAGTAGGGAAAAGAGAAGAAGAGCTTTGCCCACCTGCAGACCAGTGTTTGGTTTTTGCAGGACCTGCTACAAGAAGGTTCTTGGCCTGCCAATGCAGAATATATCGTGCAAATAGTGATAGCTATGGAAGGCTATTCAGTGCTTACTCTTTTCTAGATTTTCTTTTTGTGCAATTACCTGTGCCTTTTGTCTTCCTTTCTTTCATCCTTTTGTTTTTTTTTCTTTTGGTGTATGAACCAATACCCATTTCAGATGAGGTTTACATGTAAAGCATTTGGATGGGGATGGGACTGACTTTTCAGACTGGAAGCTGAATGGTTACAGGTTCCTGATTAGGGCAGACTGGCATGATTTGGGGGAAGATGGTTTTGCCAGAACAGAAGTGTGTGTGTGTGTCCATGGCTATAGCAGGATTTAAAGAGCAGAGGGTGTTATAAAAACTCTGTTTTGTTATGACATCACTTCAAAAGTATGAAAGAGGGACATCTGATTTCTGCTGTTCCACGTGAGATATGACTTCATCCCTTTATGGTTTATCCCTTCATACAGGTTCCAACCTTGATGATGGACACCCAGTTTTCAGAGTTCACTCCAGACATCACACCGATCATGCTGGCAGCTCACACCAACAACTATGAAATCATCAAGCTGCTTGTCCAAAGACGGGTCACGATTCCACGCCCACACCAGATCAGATGCAACTGTGTGGAATGTGTCTCCAGTTCGGAGGTGGACAGCCTGAGGCATTCCAGGTCAAGGCTGAACATCTACAAAGCCTTAGCCAGCCCTTCATTGATTGCCTTATCAAGTGAGGATCCCATTTTGACAGCCTTCCGACTGGGCTGGGAGCTGAAGGAGTTGAGCAAAGTGGAAAATGAATTCAAGGCTGAATATGAAGAACTTTCACAGCAATGCAAGCGTTTTGCCAAGGACCTTTTGGATCAAGCACGGAGCTCCCGAGAACTGGAGATCATTCTCAATCACAGAGATGATCAAAGTGAAGAGCTGGACCCCCAAAAATGTCATGATTTGGCAAAGCTAAAGGTAGCAATAAAGTACCACCAGAAAGAGGTAAGAGCCGTGAAGGTATTGGGTAAAACAATTCATTACTCACTGTGGGTTTATTCAGTGTTTCTGGCTCTCAGGTGTGATATTGCATGGAGCAGAGAACCCTGTGCACCTGGGTTGATCACAAACCAGCAGGCTCAGTGCACCTTGGTGACAAGGTGGATTTGGTGACAGTTGAGGGCAACAGGACTCGGATTTGCTGCAGTGGGCTACAGCTTCTACAGTACCAATAATTTCTGTTTCAAAGCTACTTGAATCCCATTTCATTGTAACCCATCCCCCTGCAAAGAACAGCCTTCAGACATTTCCAGATCTGTCTCTAAAAGCTTTTCCCAGTTGCTGCTTTTGTGCAGGAACCCAAAGCTAGAAGGGGTTGCCTAGCTCATAAAGGTTGACTCCTTGGATTCCTCATTGACTGCAGGAAATAGTATAATACACAATTCACTTCCTGCAGCCACCAAACACCTCTAAGCACCCATTCAACATTAATTCATAAGGGTCAGAGAAAAGAGAGCAGCTAAAGAGAGCAGGAGAGGTCTGCAGCACTGCTACTGTCTCAGGTCTCCATTGTTACCAGCAGTTTTATTGGGTGAAAATGCTTGTGTGATGCTCAGAAGAGGATCACATCATGCAAATACTTCTCCACACTTGTGACACCTCAAGTTGATTCTTGGTCCTTGATCCATCTGTGTCTTAGGAACTGAGAAGCAATTCCCAGAAATTCAAACTCCTTCCTGTAGTTCCAGAGAGGAAAGCCATACTTCAACTAAAGGACACAGAGCCTTTCAGAAGCCCTGCAAATCCAGAGATTTATGAGTTGATTCAATAAAGGCCATGAACTCCAGAAGAATGCTGACCACAGTTTCATTAGTTGGCTATGGATTTTCTTTCTCTTTCCAAACCCAGACAGAATTTAGTAGATGATATATGACTGTTGGCCAGTGATATTCCAGGTTATCTGAAGGAGGAATTGAGCTGTTTGGTTGAGGAACTGAATTGCAATGTCCCTCACATTCCTCTGTGTCTTGGAGGGTGATGTGGGTGGCAGAAGAACCTGCTACATTCCTCTTTTCACTGCCTTCCCCAAATTCAACACTTCATTTTATGCACTGACCCAACCTGATATGATAACATTCCTGCTCCCTGAATGGCTGCTCGTGTCATCCAAAGGACAATAGTCAAGAAGTGAAAGATGTAGATTTTCTTTCATCCCTTTGTCTGTTGTGCTTCCTGAGTGCCAGTCCCTTTGCTGCAATGAGCTGGAGCCAGAACCTCAAGCTTCTGGGGTTCAGTACTTGGCCACTTACTGCCCTTACTGGGCTAGTCCAGCCAAGTGTCAGCAAGGCTCGCTGGTGTCGTGTCAGGTTGTGCTTTTTACCAGGGCTGTGACAGTGTTAGGGAACACCATAAGTGCTTTAGGGACACGAAAAAGTAGCGAAACATTAATCTGGAAGAGGGTAATACAGGTAATAGGGTCAGTGTTCACTGAGTCTAAGAAGGGCCAGAAAGACCACTTTTGCTTTTTCATTGCCCTGACAGCCACAGATGCTGCTCTCATGTGCACCCCTCAGCAGCCAGGCTACCCCTGGCACTGCTGTGTGTAGATCTCTGCTGATCCTGATGTCAGGTCACTGCTGGCATCCAATTGTAAGCCTGTGGCCACCCTTATCTCATATTCACATTCAGCAAGTGCAAGTCTGAAGGACTTCACTGTATTTGAAATGTGGCCCTGAACAGTCCTGAAGATTTTTTATTTTAGAGTAACAAATTTTTAATCTTGCTTGACAGTTTTTATCGGTTTTTTTTTAGACATATTTGACTTAATTCCAAGCATATGGACAAATTCCATGTTTTGTGACACACTCATGACAGTTCCAGCCTATAAATTATAGCAAATATGCTCTGTGTTGTCAGCTAAAGTCTGTGCTGTTTCCAGGTAGAATACTGGTGGGTTGGGGTAGAATGAATGAGGTTGGGAAACCAAATACTGAACCCCATCACCCTACCTAGTTGTTCACAAAAACCTGATGCATCCTGCAGGATGGTTGTGGTTTTCTTATCATGTTAATTAGGCCATCTTATCATGATAATTAGTGCAATACAAAACCTCAAGCAAGATACAAACATCCTGCCAGATTCTGAAAAAATGAGTAGGAACATTTGCCAGGGAGATGCTGAGAAATGTTTTTTAATCATGATTGAAGAGCATCAGACTGAGAGAATTTTTGTGGGGACAGGAAGGAAAACAGAAGCGAGTTTGGTTTCGTGAAAGAGAGTTCTGCAGAGAGAAACAGCAGACTTTTAAAAGCAGATCATCTTGTTCCGCTGAAGCTTTTTGTCTTAACATTAAATGAGATTGGATTGAATTGGATGGAGAAGCTTTTTATATCTTAACGTTGACAAAAATAAAAGTCAAATCTCTAGTTGTCTAAGACAAGAATCCAAAACTGACTTTGGTTATTTTCTGGGGTGTCAATTGTTGTTGCAGGTGTTTGTTCTTTCTATTCAGCATAATTTCACATTGTTTTTAGAATAATTGGTAGACGAATTTCCTGCAGCGTTTTGCTTTTTGAGTGAAGTAAACCTCAAATTTCCCCCCAAAATATAAAATTATTCCATTTCAGCCTACTTGGGCAGACAAGTTCAAGTTCAAGACTATTTTCAAAGAAGTCGTTAAGAGGAAATGGGTAAACAGATCATTGCCTTTTGATGGAGGAGCAGGACTGTGTGTAAATCACTTTGCACCAGTGTAAGTGATCTGGGAATTCAAGAATCTCCACCAGACACATTATTCAGTGTTCTTCTCTCTGAGGCATTTCAAGTGAACCCACCATGCCTTTCCCCCTAGCCCCCATTGCACTCCCAGACTGAAGAGAAGGTGCTGGTTTGTTCCAGGTACAGAAAAGTAACAGCATTCAAATTTCTAGTGCAGGTTGATGACCCCAGCAGTGAACATACAGCGAGCATGATGGTCCTGGGTTAATTGCTGGTCTCAATGATCTCAGAGGTCTTCTCCAACCTTAACGAGTCTGTGGTTCTATGAATTATTCTGTGTGCTCTTGCTCCAAACTGTGCCCTTGGAGGAAGGCTTTTAAAGCTAAATAAGTGCTAACTGTGCAGATGAATAGACAGTAAATTTTTTAACAGAGTATAATCTGGTTAAGTACCTAAATCCTGTTGGAGATTAGACATTTATCTTGCTGAGGCATTTGCTGAATTAGCAGCACCTTTTGGCACTTAGCTACTAGAGAAAAACCTGATCTTGCTCTTTAAGTTTTAGCAAGCAATTAGCAACCAGCCCTGCCACAGACACACACCCCTGTTCTCTGGAGTCCTGTAAACACACTCATGGGGCACACAGGTTTATCTTTTAACCTGGCCTGAGTGCCTCAGTCTTCACAGGGAGCAATGTGAGCAAGGATTAGCAAAGGGAACCACTTCAGTTGTGTTCTTCCTTCAGAAAGAGAACATCCTCATCCCGAGGGCTCCAGCTCAGCCTGTATTCCCAGGTACATCCCACTGCCAGTGCATTTCTGCCTCCTAACACAGATACAGGTTTGTCTTTACAATGATAGAAAAATCTCTTATTCTATTTTTTTTTCACCAAAAAAACCTGGGAGGTAGAAGTTTTGATTATTCCCAACCATTAAACCTGTTTAATATTCTACAAAGTGACAAATGTGTCGCTTATTATGAAGAAGACCTTTTTCCTTTGCAGGAGGGTCAAAACAATGGAGAATACATTTCTTGCTTTTCACATTTGTTTTTAATACACCCGTAAATCCTAAAGGGTAAATTACTGTTTAGGCAGATGGAAAAAACTCAGTTATACGGGAAAGATTAAAATGTGCCCTAAGGTAACTTTGTAGTATATTTTATGGCAGTAAATGATAGAAACATGCTGTGCAATGTTCAGAAGCTCCTTCTCACTTCTCATTTCAAGTGTGGAATGGTTGTGTCCTCAGGTTCAACTTGCAAAAGAGCCCTGATCGTTTCTCCAGAAGATAGGAAGGACTTAATAGTTGTGATCCCTGTTTGCTTGATAGTCACAAAATATTAGAAAAAATGACGACAGCACTAGTACACTGAGAAACATGACTGATTACATCCAGCACAGACATGTCAGTTTTCTCAGTCCACTGTTAAAGAAATCATTTTTGAAGGATCACAGTAATTCTGGTCTAAGAGACCAGCAGGTTTTTCATGAATGCTCTGTAGTATATAGCGTTTGCCTTTGTGTTATTACTTCTCAGATTCTTTTATTCATGACTAATTTTGGAAGGAGAAAGATGCTGAGAATTTAGTACAAAAAGACACAGTTCAGCTGTTGAGGAGCAGTCTTCACTATGCTCTTCTGGCACCAAATTAGCTCTGCATTTGTTAATTTGTTTGCATTTCTAAGAAAAGATGGGGAAAAGTCATCTCTTAGGATCTTACCAGTCAAGTAAAACACAGTTGTCTATACAGTGTGTATTGTATTAGAGAATCAGAGCATAGGCAGCATGCAAATAGAATTTTTATGTCCTTTAAGTTTTGTTTTTTACATTGCCAATAATGTAGAACAACCATAGTGTAGCAGTGAATGAGGTCTAGAAGGGCAGATTTCTCTTTGTATTTAACATTCTGCTGTGCCACAAGAATAGCAATATACATTCAGCTTATTCCTGTTCTCTGTCACAGGTCATTCACATCTTCAAAACCAAGTGAAACATCACAGTAGTGGGTTTTTAATGGATTTTTCTGCTGCTGGTACTGGCAAATAGCTCTGCAGGTTTAGTTTATGTGTCTGTAAAAAATGCACACAATACAAGACACTCAGAAAAAAAATTCTTTTGCCTGTGACTATATTGCTTAGCACTTTCATGGAATTAGATCAAAGGAGTGCACAAATTTCCTCTCAGAAATCTTAACTGTAGTCTCTCCTCATCACTGTGCTCTAATCGATGGCAGGAAAGGAGAGGAATAGATTTGTTTGCTTTCCCAATTCAAAAGCATTGCTCTTT